GAGGCTCCGCCCACCCACCCGGATGTCATCACGGACACTCAGTTCCGAACCAGTAGTGAAGGTAAGTGAAAACCACTACTGATCAACATGCTTGAATAAGATCAAATGAAGTCATCATATAACAGTCATCCGTCCAGGAAAGAGTGATATAAATCCTACAAAGTTGAGTGACTATGAGAGATAAAAGAGATACTGAAGCTTTCTTAGAATTCCCTCTCCAACTTTTAAGCTTATTACGTCCTTCTCAGGTGAACCCATCCTAAAACCTGCACGGATTTTCATTTATTATTTGATAATAAATAAATTTTTCCCCCCACCTCTTGACTGATTGTATCAGGGTCTTCTCAAACAGAGTTAAAAAGTTGTCACTAGAAATCCCGCACTCGTTTGGAAACAAACTACAGGTTGATCCTCGACTTACAAAACCATTTATTTAGTGACCGTTTCAAATTACAACGGCCACTGGGGGGGGAAAAGGGGGCCGATGACACTCTAGATGGTTGCGGCCTCCCCACAGTCACATGATCAAAATTTGGATAACTGGTTTCTGTTTACGACGGTCCCAGTATCCCTGGGGTCACATCATCCTCCTTTTGCGACCTTCCGACAAACAAAGCCCGATTCACTTAACAACCATCTTAGTAACAACTGTGGCAAGAAAGGTCATAAAAGAGAGCAAAACTCGCTGAACTGGTCCTAAATTGAGGACTATCTATAGACTGCCCTTCTTGATAAATGGATCTACCCATTCCACACAGCCATGGTACACCCCCAATCATGGTCCACCGTTTAAGTTTAACCCAGCACATTAAGCCAACATTTGACCAATCTTATAATGGCTTAATCTTCCACATAAAGCCAACCATACATTCTCACTCCGTTCTGGGGGCCAAATTCAGCAACGTTATGATGTGCTGTTTATCAAAGGTGGAGTTTACACCTTACATTTCTTTCCAATCTCCCTCTTTCGTCACTTCTGTAAAGACTGAGAAACTATATCCATACAGACCAGACCAGATTAACAGAGTTGGAAGGGACCTTGTAGGTCATCTAGTCCAACCCCTCCACCCAAACAGGAGACCCTACACCACTTCTGACAAATGGCAGTCCAATCTCTTCTTGAAAGCCTCCAGTGATGAAGCTCCCACAACTTCTGAAGGCAACTTCTGTTCCATGGGTTGATGGTTCTCACTCTCAGAAAATTCCTCCTTATTTCTAGGTTGAATCTCTCCTTGATCAGTTTCCATCCATTATTTCTTGTCTGGCCTTTGGGTGCTTTGGAAAATAGCTTGACCCCCTTCCTCCTCTCTGTGGCAGCCCCTCAAATACTGGAAGACTGCTCTCATGTCTCCCTTGGTCCTTCTCTTCACTAGACTAGCCATGCCCAGTTCTTGCAATCGTTCTTCGTATGTTTTTTTAAAAAGTTTTATTGTTTCATTACTACACATTATGACAAACACAGAACATACAACATATAAATGTATCCTCTTTTTAACAAGTCTCTCATATTGTTTCATTTTCTTCACTGTCTCCTTTTTGATTGATTACAATGTATTTTCTAATCCTAATAGCCTTAATTTGATACATTTCTATATATTTGTTTCAGATGCCTGAAAAACCCATTAATGCTTAACTTTTTTTTCCCCCCTTAAAACAATTAGTTAATATATATATATTTTCTTTGTGTTTTAGCCTCCAGTCCCTTCATCGTCCTGGTTGCTCTTCTCTGCACTCTTTCTAGAGTCTCAACATCTTTTTTATAGTGTGGTGACCAAAATTGGATGCAGTACTCTAGGTGTAGTCTTACTAAGGCTTTACAGACTGGTATTAGTACCTCACTTGATCCCGATTGTATCCCTCTGTTAATCAATCTGCAAAGATGGCCCTTCAGTAAAACTGCCTACTGTTTTCCTGGTTTGTTTCTCCCACATCTAAAGGAGTTCCAAAACTAACATGCATTAGGAGTTAATCAGAGATTAAAGAGCTAAACATAGAAAAATGAAAAGAATTATATAATAGGAAAACAACATATTTCCTTACTAGGTGGAAAAGCCAAGTTTCCGAGCGGGAGCTGTTCAGATCAGCTTCATCTCCACTCACAGGAATTAACTCGTAGGTGGAGGACAGTCTAAAAAACAGCCAATATTAGAAGAGGCACCATCGATTTTCATTTTTAATGATCTTCTCGACAGAAAAGCCCATATTTTGGGACCAAGAAAGAGAAAACAGGCTGGAGTCTCTCTTGAGCTTCATGGATTGCCCTAATGTGTTTCAACCTTTGATAGTTTAAGAGGAATGGACCTCAACTCCCAGAATTCATGTTGGCTGGGGAATTCTGGGAGTTGAAGTCCATCCAAGTAGCCAAGGTTGAGATACATTGCTACAGTCTAGAGCAAAAGAAGGTCTTTCATCTCTTAAAGGTAAAGGTAAAGGTTCCCCTTGCATATACGTGCTAGTTGTTCCCAACTCTAGGGGGCGGTGCTCATCTCCGTTTCAAAGCCGAAGAGCCAGCGCTGTCCGAAGACGTCTCCGTGGTCATGTGGCCAGCATGACTCAACGCCAAAGGCGCACAAAACGCCGTTACCTTCCCACCAAAGGTGGTCCTTATTTTTCTACTTGCATTTTTGACGTGCTTTCGAACTGCTAGGTTGGCAGAAACTGGGACAAGGAACGGGAGCTCACCCCGTTACGCAGCGCTAGGGATTCGAACCGCCGAACTGCCGACCTTTCGATCGACAAGCTCAGCGTCTTAGCCACTGAACCACCACTTCTCCTTGATCTCTTACGAAGCATCTAATTCTTTGGAATAGATCCCTGCTTGTTTAGCCCAGGATGTTCACCCACCGTCTTTCCCTATGACGCGCTTGGTTAGCTTTTGGCATCCCACGGCTCTAGCCCGTCCCTTAGACAATTCCTCCCTTATTAGTTGTGCCAGATGAAAGAATCACTTCTATGTTGGCTTGGCCAATTTCTGTTTACACCCAGAAGTACCTGGCTGCCTACCGAGACTCACCTGTCCTCTATGTTTCTGAACAGGTTATTGGACAGGGAAAACCCAGCCACAACTGTTCAGTTAGTCACCATTCGACGTTACAATGGCGCTGTACAAGGGGACTTATGACCGTTTTCCACACTTACGGCCTTTGTGGGATCGAAATTCAGACGCTCGGCAACAGGTTCATACTTATGACCGTTGTGGTGCCACAAGGTCATGTGATCCCCTTTTGCAAACTTTCAGATAAGAAAAGCTCACGGGGGAACCAGGCTCACTTAAGAACCGTGCGACTAACTTTAACAACTGCGGCGATTCACTTAACAATCGTGGAGAGAAAGGTCATAAAATGGGACAAAACACATTTAACAAATGTCTCGCTTAACAACGGAAATCTGGGGGGGGTTCCCGTTGTGGTCGTAAGTCGAGAACATCCTGGAACAACTCTATCAGACGGAGAGGCCTTTTCCTAATCCCTAACTTTACAGACCCCGACAGACAGAAGAGCCCACCCACTCAATATACCGGGGTGGGCCGCTGCGTCTGAGGCTGTAACTCTGGTGAGTAAGCAGGGGGGGAGAAGGTTATTTAAAGGTAAGTCCTCACCTTATGACCATTGAGTCCAACCCTCCCATTGCTAAGCAAGGCAACGGTTCCCCCCCCCCCACTTTTATGACCTCTCTTGCCACGGCTGCTAAGTGAATCCCAGCAGCGGTTAAGTCAGTAACCTGGTTGGGAAGCAGATCTGGGTTTCCCCTCGACTTGAGTTTGCCAGAAGGTCTCCGAAGGGGAATCACCTGACATGTGCCACCGTCATAAATGTGAGCAACCGGGCCAGATTTTTTGGATCAGGTGACTCACGGCGGATGTTGCAACGGTGTGTAAAATACCGCTCCCAGGGTCGCCGTCATAACTTCGAGCGGCCGCTAAACAAAACAGTCGCAAGTGGAGAATGAACCTGCCTTTTATTGACACTCAAAAAAAAAAAAAATCTTTGCTCCCCATTTTTGGCCATTGTTAAAAATAAAAAAAAGAGAGAGAGAATTAGGAAGGAGTCCGAGCCCCCCAACACCCACTCCTCACCTCTGCAAGTTGCCAAGAGGGAAAACCCACAGCGGAGGGAAGGAAGGAAGGAGGCTGGCAAACGGAGACAGCCCTCCCCCCCGTCCCCACAACCCATTAATCTCCCGGCACCAATGCCAGCATGAAGACGCACAGTGCCATTCCTCTCCCCCACCCCTCCTCATTCCCCCCTCCTCCCCTCCTCCTAAATCCAGCCTGCAGGAAGGAGAATCCGAGAGAAAGCGGCTTTTAAAATGTATTATTCCAGGCAGGAGGGGCACTTTGAAAAGAAAAAGAGGGAAAGAGGGAGGGGGGGGAGAGAGAGAACTGTCATCCTCTTTCTCTTCCCGTGTGTGTGTGTGTGTGTGTGTGTGTGTGTGTGTGTGTGTGTGTGTCCCCTTCCAGGATTACTCTCCTCCTGATCACCCTGGTTACACAGCCATCCCTAAACACACATCCCTTAGCACAAGGATAACAAAACCCAGGACTGTGTGACATCAGTCTGGGGGGGGTGGGGGGTGGGGGGAAGGCACCCAAAGAAGAGGGCACCGTCTCCTCCCCTCCCCAAATGTCTCAATTGGGGAGGGCTCGTCTGCAGACAAGGTGGCAAATGCATTGGAGGGGGGGAGGAGGAGGAGAAAAGAGACCCCCCCTTGCAATTAATCAGGAGGAGAAGCAGCAAAGTGGAGGCCAGCGGCCTGCTGCCTCCTCTTACAGAGAGAGGGAGAGAGAGAGAGGAGAAGAGAAGGAGAAAAAGAGAGAGAAAGAGACATAGGGAGGGAGGGAGGAGAGAGAGAAAGAGAGCGAGAGAAGAGAAAGAGAGAAAGAAAGAGAGAGAGAGGAGGAGGAGGAGAGAAGGAGAAAGAGAGAGACAGAAGGAGGGAGGAGAGAGAGAGAGAGAAAAGAGAGAGAGAGAGAAGAGAAAGAGAAAGCGAGACAGAAGGAGAAAGAGAGAGAGAGAGAGAGACAGAAGGAGGGAGGGAGGAGAGAGAGGGAAAGAGAGGAAAGAGAGAGAGAGAAGAGAAAGAAAGAGAGAGAGGAGGAGGAGGAGAGAAGGAGAAAGAGAGAGAGAGAAAGAGACAGGAGGGAGGGAGGAGAGGGAGGGAAAGAGAAAGAGAAAAGAGAGAGAGGAGAGATAAAAGAGAGAGAGAGAAAGAGAAGGAAAGAGAGGAGAGATAAAAGAGAAAGAGAGAAAGAGAAAGAAAGAGAGGGAGAGGGAGGGAAAGAGAGAGAGAGAAAAGAGAGAGGGAGAGGAGAGAGAGAAGAGAGAGAGAGAGAAGGAGAAAGAGAGAGAGAGAAAGAGACAGAAGGAGGGAGGAGAGAGAGGGAAAGAGAGAAAAGAGAGAGAGAGAAGAGGAAGAGAGAAAGAAAGAGAAAGAAAGAGAGAGAGAAGGAGGGAAAGAGAGAGAGACAGCTGAAGTCTCCAGTCAACAACACAGCCCTTGTTTATTCTGCGAAGTGGCTCCTTCAACCTTACCTCTTAATCACTGGGTGAGAAATCAAAATACTTTTTTTTTTTTTTAGGTTAAAGACATGAGTCAGCACGGGTGGAAAGAGACGGAGGAGGAGGAGGAGGAGGAGGAGGAGGAGGAGGAGGAGGAGGAGGAGGAGGAGGAAAAATTCACCACAAGGCAAAGCAAAAAAAGCCGGAACTAAGGAACTTTGGAGAAGCTTTTCCAACCGTTAAGGAAGTTCGATTTATTTTTCCTTCCCAGGACAGAAGAAACATATTTGTGTGTCACACAGACACACAAATATGGATCTCTATGGCAATTTGACAGGATGGTAGCACCCAGGAATCCTTTTAAAGATAAGAGAAACTATCAAGATTTCAGAAGTAACCCTGGGGAGAAGGGGGGGGGGGCGCATCCTCATCCCCAGAAGGAAGTTTTAAGGATCCATCATCATCATTTACTTTATTCATTAACCATGAAACTCAGTCAACTGAACATTCAAAAATACATCACAAATACCATTGACTGGTGCTTATTATTATTATTATTATTATTATTATTATTATTATTATTATTAAATTTTGGTGAGATTTCACAGCCTTGAGGCTGGTTAATAGCTCAGCAGCTCAAGTCCTAACCAAGGACCTAGGAACTGTTAAGGTATCATCGGAGAATGTTATTATTATTATTATTATTATTATTATTATTATTTAATCTTTAGTGAGATTCACAGCCTTTGAGGCTGGTTAATAGCTCAGCAGCTCAAGTCCTAACCAAGGACCTAGGAACTGTTAAGGTATCATCGGAGGATGTTATTATTATTATTATTATATTATTATTATTATTTTTATTTGGTTACTCTTTAGTGAGATTCACAGCCTTTGAGGCTGGTTAATAGCTCAGCAGCTCAAGTCCTAACCAAGGACCTAGGAACTGTTAAGGTATCGTCGGAGGATGTTATTATTATTATATTATTATTATTATTATTATTTAATCTTTAGTGAGATTCACAGCCTTTGAGGCTGGTTAATAGCTCAGCAGCTCGAGTCCTAACCAAGGACCTAGGAACTGTTAAGGTATCATCGGAGGATGTTATTATTATTATTATTATTAAAATTATTATTATTTAATCTTTAGTGAGATTCACAGCCTTTGAGGCGGTTAATAGCTCAGCAGCTCAAGTCCTAACCAAGGACCTAGGAACTGTTAAGGTATCATCGGAGAATGTTTTATTATTATTTATTATTATTATTATTATTATTATTATTTAATCTTTGGTGAGATTCACAGCCTTTGAGGCGGTTAATAGCTCAGCAGCTCAAGTCCTAACCAAGGACTTAGGAACTGTTAAGGTATGTTGGGATGTTGTTATTATTATTATTATTATTATTATTGGTTAATCTTTAGTGAGATTCACAGCCTTTGAGGCTGGTTAATAGCTCAGCAGCTCGAGTCCTAACCAAGGACCTAGGAACTGTTAAGGTATCGTCGGAGGATGTAAGATGTTCCCAGTAAGGTGGTTTTTTGTACAATCAAAATGTTCAAGTCTGGCAAATTTAGAATTTCTAAATAGCGGGGTAGCCCTTTGGGTATTGCTCCAAGGGCTCCAATTACAATCGGGACAACACACGATAATGATGATGATGAAGATGATGAAGATGATGATGATGATTAGTTAATCTTTAGTGAGATTCACAGCCTTTGAGGCTGGTTAATAGCTCAGCAGCTGGAGTCCTAACCAAGGACCTAGGAACTGTTAAGGTATCCTCGGAGGATGTATTATTATTATTATTATTATTATTATTATTATTATTATTATTATTATTATTATTATTATTATTATTATTATTATTATTTCTGGATTAGGGTTCCTTTGGCTGAAAGCACATCTCCTTGCAAAAAAAAAAAAACACTTCGCCCTACCGCCCCTCCGCTTTCCCCCCTTTCTATTAAACTCCCCCCCCCCCATTAAAACCTCCACCTGCGCCGTCAGCGATTTCACCCGGAATAAAAGCCAAGCGAGTTTTTTTTTTTTTCCCCCCCCCCTTCGCAGAAAAACGGACGGATCTACTAATACAGCCGGTCGAAAAAAGGGGAAGGCGAAGAAGCCCCATCACGCGCGTCTCCAGGTGTTTTTTTTTGTTTTTTTTTTGTAATTTTTTTGTTTTTTTTTCAAATCCTCGCGCACAATGAGAGTCGCCTTGGCGGGTCTCAAGCCCCCCCCCCCACCACCCCCGACCCACAATAACCCCCCACCCCACCCCACCACCCCACGCAGCTTCGTGACAGGCTGCTGGAGGGACCAGCCAGGATGGAGAAAAGGGGGGGGAGGAGGAGGAGGAGGAGGGAGGGGGAGGGCTCCAGAGGTGATGGGGGGGGAGGGAAGTCGAGCCCCCCCCCTAACTCTGCCTCGGGTGCCCAGCGTGGGGAATGGGGGGGGGGGGGGAAGGACCCACGCTTCCTGCGTGGGCTCTCTCTCTCTGTGTGTGTGTATATGGGATGTGTGTGTGTGTGTGTGGGGTGTGTGTGTGTGTGGGGGGGGGTGTGTGTGTGTGTGTATATGGGATGTGTGTGTGTGTGGGGGGGGGAGTGTGTGTGTGTGTGTATATGGGGTGGTGTGTGTGTGTGTGTGTGTGTGTGTGTGTGTGTGTGTGTGTGTGTGTGAGTGAAACAAGGAGCGAGTCAGGAGCGCGTCTCCCCCGCTTGGTCGCCTCCGCCGCCGGCAGCTGCTTCTGCTGCTCCCCAACCGGCCCCGCCGCCCCGCGAAGACAGCGGCACTTTGTCTGCCTTCGCCCGCCCGCCCGGCCGCCGGGCCTGCCCTTCCCCACCAGCCGCTCCGGAACGAGCCGGCCTTCCGAGAAGCCACCCGGTGCCTTCCCTCCATCTCCCGGCCCCCGCCGCGGCCCGGAACGGAGAAGAAGCCCAGCCAGAACCGGGCTGCCAGAGATACAAACCCCCCACCCACCCACCCCCCATCACCACTGCCGGGCAAGGAGAGAAGGGAGGAAGGGAAAAAAGGAGGGAAGGAAAAGGAGGGAGGGAGGGAGGGAAGGAAGAAGGAAAGAAAAGGGAGGAAGGGAAGGAGGAAGGGAAGGAAAAGGAGGGAGGGAGGAAAGAAAAGGGCAAGGGAGGGAGGGAGAGAAGGAAGAGAAGGGAAAGGAGGGAGGGAGGAAGGGGGCAAGGGAAGGAGGAAGGAGGGAAGGAAGGAAGGAAAGGGGCAAAAGAGGAAGGGAGGGAAGGAGGGAAGGAAGGAAAGGGGCAAAAGAGGAAGGGAGGGAAGGAGGGAAGGAAGGAAGAGAAGGAAGAAAGGAAGGAAAAGGGCAAAGGAGGGAAGGAAGAGAGGGGAAGGGAGGGAGGGAGGAAGAGGGCAGGCAAGGGAAGGAGGGAAGGGAGGAGGGAAGGAAGGAAGGAAAAAGGCAAAGGAGGGAAGGAGGGAAGGAAGAGAGGGGAAGGGAGGGAGGGAGGAAGAGGGCAAGGGAAGGAGGGAAGGGAGGAAAAGGGCAAGGGAGGGAAAGAAGGAAGGAAAGCCGTGGGGATCGCTGGCCGAGCCCTCTCCCCCTCCCTCCCTCCCTCCCTCCCTCCCTCCCTCCTCCCCGGTTCTCTTCCTCCCCCGAGTGGCGGCTGCCTCGCCAAGATACAATGAAACTCCGGGACGAAAGAAGGCCAAGCGGCCGCCGCTGTGCCCCCCACCTCTCCCCTCCCCTCCCCTCCCCTCCCCTCCCCCCCCCCCCCCACTCCGTCGCCCCGGCTCACCGTGATGTGGGGCTCCATGCGTGGTGCTTCTACCCGCGGGGAAACTAGAAGCATCTTGGAGCGGCGCTGGCCCAGCGCTTTACATCCACTCGGGGAGCGCCGAGGCGCGGGACCCGCCTGCCTGCCTGCCTGCCTGCCTGCCTGCCTTCGTGGGCGGCTGCGGCTCTTGTCCCTGGCTGCGGCTCCGGCCCTCAGGTTCCCGACAAGTTCATCGCGGCGACGCCGCTGGCTAATGAGCCGCTGTCTGGCTCGGCGCGCTGCGCTCCCCGCCGGCCCCCGTTTCCTGGCTGGGGAGGCGGAGTGGCAGCCCATAGGGCGACGTCAGAGGGCGGGGAGGGGCCCGCCGACGCGCCCCCCCTCCCCTCCCCCCCCGGCCCTGCCCGCGCCCCCGCCCCCGCCCGCCCCACCGCCTTAAAGGAGAAGCTGCGCTCCGCAGACCGGGCTGCCCGGGCCGGGGAAGACCGACCGGTTGCTGGGGGAGGCTGGCTGATGCACCTGGTCCCGCGTTCTTTTCTTCTTCTTCTGCCTCCTCCGCGCAACTGCGCCGACCCGCGATCCTGAGCGAGGGGGGGTCTTAGGGGATCTCCGCGCAGGCGGGAGAAAGCCGCGACCCACTCCTCATCTTTTTCTTCTTCTTACTCCTCCTCCTTCTTCTTCTCCTCCTCGCAACTCCCGACCCGCGATCCTGAGCGAGGGGGGTCTTAGGGAATCTCCGCGCAGCCGGGAGAGAGCCGCGACCCACTCCTCATCTTTTCTTCTTCTTCTTCCTCTTCCTTCTCCTCCGTGCAACTCCCAACCCGCGATCTTAAGCGAGGGGATCTCCACGCAGCCTCCTCTTCTTCCTCCTCCTCCTCTTCTTCCTCCTCCTCCTACCCCGCGCAAACTCCTGACCTGCCTGTGCCGCGATCCTGATCGGAGGATCTCGGCGCAAAGTCCGCGCAGCCGGGGGAGTGTGAGCCAGCCTGCGACCCCCGCACCTCCTCTTCCTCCTCCTCCTCCTCCTCCTGTTTGACGAGATCACTTGGGTGAGCGCCAACTCCCTCGCTTACTCACACTTATCCCGGGAGGACCTGGGCAAACTCCCCGGACCGGCTGCACCAGCCTGGCCTCTCGCTTCCCTTTGGATCCGACCGTCGCCGCCGCCGCCTCCATTGGAAAGCCGGACCTTTTCCTGGACGCAACCCGGGGGTGCGGGGGTGGGGTGGGGTGGGGAGCATCGAGAGGGGAAGGGGAAGCTGATCTCCTGCAGTGCCTTCAACTCCGAAGAGGATCCCATCCTGACTGGTTGAACAGCTCTCTGGGACTCCAGTTCCCATAATCCTTGCCCAAGGAGGTGGGCAAGAAAACCCAAGAGTCCAGTTGTGATTGCTATCCTAGGCATTGCTCCTTCCCTGGTGGATGCCCGCCTGTCAGCCTCTTAGAAGAAAGAGGAAGCTTGTCCCTGGAATGCTGTGGCACATGGGCCATGGCCTACCTGGATCTGGAGCCTTCGGATGGTTGCAAACCTTGGAGTCACGCTGAGTTTATTTATTTATTTATTTGTCGCATTTCTATGCCGCCCAACTCCCTGGGGACTCTGGGCGGCTTACAACAAAAGATAATGCGAACAATATAGTTGGAGTTGGAGAACATCAACTCTCAAAGGCCAAAGGAGCGGCAAAGGGTTCAAGGGCCCAAAACACCATAGACGCCGTGATGTGCCGCCACTGTGATGGTAGCAGGCATACAGTCCCACAGGTTTAGCCTGTGGGCTCACCCCAATTTCCGATCCGTCAGCTGCAGGTTAGGGTTGAACGCTGAGTGTTACAACTCAAGTCACTAGGATTTGACCAGCGAACCATGGCTTGGGGCAATTCCAAAGTGGGGTTTTTGTAAAGCCACCGACTTAATGGTTCAGTGGTTATCGGCAAACCCAGGCTTGTTCAATGCGTGATGACAAATCATGGTTTGGCGGGATGCGCAGATCCAGCCATGGATTCAAGTTACCTGCTGCTTCCTTGAACAGGGCAGTTTGGGGTTCCCTACAATTCACTCGGGAAACACGTGGTGTTACTTCTGGTTACTTCCGAAGTCGGTAAAATGAGGACCCAGATTGTTGGGGGGCGCAAGATGCTGACTCTGTAAACCGCTTAGAGAGGGACTGGAAAGCACTGTGAAGAGGTATATAAGTCTAAGTGCTTGTGTGCCCTTCCTTCCTTCCTTCCTTCCTTCCTTCCTTCCTTCTTCCTTCCTTCCTTCCTTCCTTCCTTCCTCCCCTCCTCTCTCCCTCTCTTCCTTCCCAGTGGTTAGAAAGCAGTATTGCAGGCTAATTCTGCCCACTGCCAGAAGTTCGATACTGACCAGCTCAGCTTTCCATCATTCCAAGGTTTGTAATATGAGGACCCAGATTGTTGGGGGGCGCAAGATGCTGACTCTGTAAACCGCTTAGGGCTGGGAAGCACTGGGAAGCGGTATATAAGTCTTAAGTGCTAGTCCTTCCTTCCTTCCTTCCTTCCTTCCTTCCTTCCTTCCTTCCTTCCTTCCTTCCTTCCTTCCTTCCTTCCCAGTGGTTAGAAAGCAGTATTGCAGGTCATCTCTGCCCACTGCCAGGAGTTCGATCCTGACCAGCTCAAGGTTGACTCAGCCTTCCGTCCTTCCGAGGTGGGTAAAATAAGGATCCAGATTGTTGGGGGGCAAAAGACTGACTCTGTAAACCGCTTAGAGAGGGCTGTCGAGCACTGTGAAGCGGTATATAAGTCTAAGTACTTGTGCTACTTTCCAGGCGCTGATGATCCCAGTGAAAACTCTCTACGTAGCTTAGAGCCAGGTTTACCTGCGGGACCACTTCTTCCTGGAGGTATCTCCCATCCCTCCAGCTTAGAGAGTGGTTGAACTCCAAGTCTCCTCTTTTAAATGTTGCCACTTGATGGGACCTCCTTGGTGAGCCTTCTCAGTGGCCATTGAAGCCACTGGGACACCTCCCACCTCAGCCCCCGCCCCTCCCTATTTAGCCTTCCGGAGGGCTGAGAAGATCTGGTTCTCCTCCCCAAACATTGGTCTAGGACAGTGATGGCAAATCTATGGTACGCATGCCGAAATTGGCACGCAGAGCCATCTCTCAGGCATGCAAACTGTCGCCCGTTGCTCTTCTCTGTGGGGGCACCTACCCTCTGGAATCAGTTGCCCCCAGAGATAAGGAGAATCCAAGACCTTAGTGCCTTCCGCCGTGCCCTTAAAACTCACTTTTTCCAGCAGGCCGGGCTGGCTTAAGAAGAAATTTTAAATGTTTTAATTGGTTTGTATTTTTAATTTTGGGCCAAATTTATATATATTTTAATTGTTTTTTAATATTTGTATTTCATGTTTTTTTTAATTCTGGCTGTACACCGCCCTGAGTCCTCAGGGAGAAGGGCGGTATATAAATTTAAAAATAAATAAATAAATAAATAAATCTTCCGGATTCCAGAGCGCCAGCCAGCTGGTTTTCACACGCCGGGCAGCTGTTCTTCCAGTTTCTGGCACATATATATGCGCGAAGACTATCTGGCCAGTGCACACGATGGGCGGCTGCTTGTCCAGTTTCCAGCACATGCGAAGACCAGCTGGCTAGTGCACATGTGTGTGCTAAAAACCGGAAGGTCGTCTTCCTGACACGCCGAGCAGCTGCTCTTCCAGTTTCATGCACGCTCCCATTTCGGCACTTGGTGCCGAAAAGGTTTGCCAACACCAGTCTAGGATGAGGGTTGAGCTGGGAGGACGTTGGTCTGGTGCTTGGTGGGGTGGGGGAGATAGGGGTATCTTTGTTTTTAACGCTATTTTACAGCTCGTTATGACCCGTTTAGCATCATTGTACGAGTTCAATGATTCTATTTTTCTAAGTTCTAAGGCGGGATTTGAACTCGTATTCTACGCCCGAGTCCAAGTCCCGTTTTAGCCCCGGATGCCAGCTGGGTGACTTTGGGCCTGTTCCGTGTCTCTCAGCCCGAGCCCACCTCACAGGGTTGTTGTTGCGGGGGAAAATAGGAAGAGGAAGCTGTGTTTGGATAGGTTTGCCATTTTGAATTATTTGTAAAAACAAACCAAAAAAAAACCCCACACACAATAAAGGAAGGATACAAATAAATAGATTAATAGGCAGCCATCTAAGTCTTCTAAATAAACAAATAAATAATTATATAAGGGGTCTTTGGTACGCTCTGACTTTGGTTGTTTTCCTGCAGACGTTTCATTACCAAACGAGCTAACATCATCAGTGCTAGAAGGGAGTGGGGTTTGTTGAATGGAGGAGGAGGAGGAGGAAGAGGAGGAGGAGGAGGAGGAGGAGGAGGAGGAGGAAGACTGTGGGGTCCTTGGTGCTCTCTGAGCTTGCTTGTTTTCCTGTAGACGTTTCATTACCAAACTAGCTAACATCATCAGTGCTAGAATGGAAGTGGGGTTTGTTGAATGGAAGAGGAGGAGGAGGAGAGGAGGAGGAGGAGGAGGAGGAGGAGGAGGAGGAGGAGGAGGAGGAGAGGAGGAGGAGGAAGACTGTGGGGTCCTTGGTGCTCTCTGAGCTTGCTTGTTTTCCTGCAGACGTTTCATTACCAAACTAGCTAACATCATCAGTGCTAGAATGGAGTGGGGTTTGTTGAATGGAAGAGAAGGAGGAGGAGGAGGAGGAGGAGGAGGAGGGAGGAGGAGGAGGAGGAAGACTGTGGGGTCCTTGGTGCTCTCTGAGCTTGCTTTTTTTTCCTGTAGACGTTTCATTACCAAACTAGCTAACATCATCAGTGCTGGAAGGGAAGGAGGTTTGCAGAGAGGAGGAGGAGGAGAACTATGGGGTCCTTGGTGCTCTCTGAGCTTGCTTGTTTTCCTGTAGACGTTTCATTACCCAAACTAAGTAACATCATCAGTGCTGCAAATGATTATATCATAATAAATCAATAACCTCACCAGTTTAAAAAAAAGGCAGCTCGAGTTGCTGAGATTCTTTACCAGGGACTAGTGCCATGACGATGTTAAAATCCTTTGTGTTCCTTTCTCCCAAAGTCATCCATTCCCTGGGAAGTCCGCCCCGCTGAAGCTCATGCTGTGGTTTTAAAGGATAACATTGTCACCTTCTCTCTTTTGCCGCTGAGATTTTTTTCATTATAAGCTATCTTTGAGCCCTGCTATCACCGTTTAAGCACTCCGTGAGCGGAGAGCCATAGACTAAAAAGGGGGGAGAAAAAAAGGGACTCCAATCAAACGATTTCCACTTATTTTAATCTCTCCCCATTAAA